CCTTTAGTGGGTACCTGACAAAGTCTTGGGAAGTAAAGGCAGTCGGCGTGATGTTGACCACTTCACTCGTCAAGTTCTGAATAGTCTACAAAATATATGTCTAGCTCTACATGTCCAATACTTCTTTACGCCAATACCCAAAACATGAAACGGGCCCAATACTATTATTTCTTATAGAAAGCTATCACATTGTTCCCCTTCTCTTGTTCAGCATCAATTTGTTTGTTGTTGTTGCAACAACGTTCTTGTCATTTCATAATCATATGGTCAGACGTTTCTAAGTACCCACGATCTTCCTGGGAAGTATCCAACTTTTGTTTCGCCGTCATCAGTGTCTGAAGAGTGTAAAGCTTTTACTCTCTTCACTGACGCCAGCCGTCTTACTATATTACTGAGAACATTTTAAAAATAATACTGCAAGAATGTATGGTCGCAGTATAGTAATACTATTATAACTGCTTCTGCTACTACTACTACTACTGCTGCTACTACTATCACCATCATCTGAATTACGTTCGGTTTCAACAGACTGATAGTTAATTATTGTAAAACACAACTTTAAACTTCGTTACGTGAAATTTACAGGACCTTACAATCAAAACCGAAATTTGTTGGCTGCTTGTGATTTTCCTAAGCAATTCTACTTCCAGTAGTTTGCCATTGCTCTCTGCATTGCTGATGTAATACTCTTGTTGAAAGCAAGGCAGTTATGTCTGCTAGGAAATCTTCACTGCATAAACACAAAGACGTCGATATTCCTCACACATACACATAAACACCAACACATACTGAAACACAACGACACAATCACACATAAAAAACATGTATTTCTCTATATTTTTCTTTCATTCACACATCTATTCACACAGGCTCACACACCCACACTACATAAATACAAACAAAACAGATGTGTTTCTGGAAAGCACCTTTATTAAAAGTCGTGCACCTCACCACCCGTGTGGTTTTATGTACAGCCTTCTCTAGAGCTCTGTACCGTCCACTATAAGAGCCCATCTATCATTGTGGTACAGGGGAGAATGGAACTCCAATCGTTCCTACAGCTCCACAGATTTGATTTCACAGTCACCAAGTGCTAATCCGGTACATCCCTGACAGCCATGGATTACAAACCTGCATGTAATGGACACGTAAAATGATTTTTTTTCTCCAAATATAGACAAATGCACACACACAAACACATACACACAAATGAAGAAGTAATCAAACTGTTAGAACAATTAAACATCGATGGAAAAGATCTACAAATAATGAAGAATATGTATTGGCAGCAAACAGCGGCTATAAGAATTAACAACTGTTTAGGTACATTTTAGTGCAACAACTGTTTAGGTACATTTCAGAGCATAAAGAGGGGTGTACGACAAGGATGTGTACTGTCACCTGATTTTGTTTTTCACTATACAGTGAATATATAATGAGATCTTCAATTGATATGCCCGGAATTGTGGTTGGTTGGCACAATTTAAACAATTTACGTTATGCTGATGACACAGTCTTGATAGCAACAAGTCAGGAAATAATAGACATTGTGGTGCTGGAAAGGGGATGAATGGGCCTCAGTTTGATTAATGAAAAGACAGAAGTAATTGTAGTTTAAAAAAAAAAAAAAAAGAATTATTTCAAAATGAGTAATAAAACTCAATGGTGTTATTTTGGCACACGTACAGAAATTCAAGCATCTGGGCACATGGAAAACATCACATGGAAGATGCATTACTGAAATAAGAAACAGGCCAGGCAAAAACTGCATTTTATAAAATGAAGAACATCTTATGCAATATATATTTGTCATTGAGGGCTAGAAAAAGAATTCTTGCTTGCTATATACATCCAGTTTTAACATATGGCTGTGAGTCCTGCACAATCGTTAGGCAGGCCAAAAAATGTATTGAGGCCTTAGAGATGTAGTTTTATAAAGAAATGCCTAAAATACATTGGGCAGCCAAAAAAGAGCAACCAAGAGGTTTTAAAAAAGGTGGGAGCCCGAAGACAACTTATCACTGACATCAGAAGGAGACAGTCATCATTTTTGGGCCATGTTATGAGAAGAGGGAAAATAGAGCATGTTGTGACCAATGGAAAGATCTGTGGAAGCAGGGATAGAGGAAGACAGCGAGAGAAGATTATTGATAGTCTTGTTGCATGGCATGTAGGTGTGTCAGCACAGGAACTGATCCACGCTGCAGGAGACCGCAGATTGTGGAGAGGCATGATCGCCTACGCCAGTCGGCAAGGCACCTTATGATGATGATGATAATAATGATAATAATGATGATAATGATGATAATGATGATGATGGGGTTACATATAATATTCCATATTATTTAGCTTTAGCTGCGCAATCGTTTTTCCCCACACTGACTGAGGTATACACAGGATTTGTGTGGATCAGGCATAGGAAGTGAATGAGAGTGAAGGAAGAAATATTTGCAGAAAGGGTGAGAGCTGAGCGTCTAAAAAGAAACAAATAAACACAAATGTTCACAACAATTTTCCTGAATTCCTGTGCTATCATTGTAAAAGACTTTGCTTGACACAGGCGGGTCTTGCTAGTCACACTCGCCATCGCCATAGGATGTGAGTCCCATGCTTCCTCATAACGCAATATAACACTATCATCTAGAAAGACGGAAAGGTGCTAATCAATCAATCAATAACAGGCGTTTGCAAATATTATTGAGATTATTGCTGATTCACTTTTCCCCCATACTTTCCCACAACATGTTCAGGTCGACTCTATTGAAGGCTTTTTTCCTGGTTTGTGAATGTCAACAAACAGGTCTTACAGTGTTCTATTGTTCTTTCTGATAGTTGACTCAATGTCTAAATGGCACCTTGAAAAACTTCTAAAAGCTCATCTGTGCTTCTGAAAGTTGATACTTTATTTTTGGTCTAAGTCTTCTTTCGATGATCTTAGCATACACTTTTCTAGTGTGACTGAGAAGCGACATTCCTCTGTAATTAGAAAAGTCCTCTTACTTAGTTTATTTTCATATAGCGGGACGATGACAGCAGTCTGCCCTATCTGATGGTGTTTCTTGATTTTCCCATGCCCCCTGAAATATTCTCTTTAACCATATTGCCCCCGCTTCTATTGTTGCCTTGATGGTCTCAACAAGTAGATCATCGATCAATACCGGTTGCCTTTGGTTTAGGGGGTGTATGAATGACATATTCTACTTCATCTAACATTATACCAGGTTCTAGTTCCTCTGCCGTTAGTTTCTTGTTTTTATATTCCTCCCTGCTTTCATATATTTTATTACAGTTAAGTAATGATTCAAAGTTATTATTCAACCTGACTAAAATTTTGTTAGGCTTTATAAAAGGTTGACCTTTTTCATTTTTTATAATTTTTGTTGGGTTGCATTCTTCATTCTTGTTTCTCTTGCCTTAATTTGTTTGTACTAAATTTCACTACTGGTCTTTCTTCTTTAACAATCTTGCTTCCAAACTTTTCCCATGAATCTCTTTTCGCTTGTCTAATAGTTCCATTTACTTCTCTTCTAATTATCATGTATGCCAAATAATCCTCTTCACTTCTACTCCTTAGCCAAATGCGATAATCTTTCTTTGTATTGCTTACAATTCTTCTTATTTCTTCAGACCACCATGTTGAGACTTTACAGCCTATGTTACCTTTCCTTTTAGTTCCACATATTTCTTGTGCTTTTCTCATAGTAGTGTCCCTGAAATTCCCCCATTCTGTATTTACCACAAGTGTGTATTGTGGATGCTGTAAATAATGTTGCTGTAGTTTTTGCTGGAATGCTCGCCTATTTTCATCACACTCTGGTTGTTTCCTTTTAATTATGTCACTCTAATGACATTTATTTCTTGTTTGATAACTTATATTGACTTTTCTGTCAAGTATTACCATTCTATAATCTGTAAATAAACTCAAGATTGGTATAACTCTCGAATATGTAACCTAATGTAAGTCTCTTTTTCTCATCAAGATGCAATCAGTCTGACTCTTAGTCTCTGGATCATTCCATTTATACCATATTAAAACTTGTGAAGCTCTATGTTGAAAGTAGCTGTTGGTAATATCAAGGTCTTGTTGTACACATTCATCTAACAGTCTTTTGCCACTTGCATTTATAAAGCTGTTATCTCTATAATTGCCTAGCTATCTTGTAAATGTTCTTCTGTCTCGTCCTGTCTTACCTTTGAAATTGCCCATCACGATCAGCTTCTCAGTTTTAACTATCTTACAAATTTCGTCATCCAGGTCCTCACAAAATTGATCTAAATCCTCTTCACTGTATCCTTTACACGGAGCAAATTATTTAAAAAAAAAAAAAAAAAAACTTCTGAGCTATTTCCTGCTTGTAATTTAAAGCTGATAATTATTTCCGAAATGTAGTTAGGCTCGAGAATATTTATTTTGCAGTTTTGGGATCTATAATAAATCCTACTCTATGTTTTGCACGTTGCAGTTCCTCTACTCCTGATTATATTAGAAAGTAATGTTTATGTAGTTTCTCCATTCTCACTTCTGATAAGCCTGATACTTTAAATTTTATTTCTCTATATAAATTATATCACTTGTTCTGCTTTATTGCCCCATTATCATATACTGATTGTCCCTACCTTGGTCTTAACCTTCTGCTGGCCTCTATTTTTCCTATTTCTAAAACATCCTCTATTTTCATCTTGGCCATTTCTGTTTGAACTGCTCAATTCTCCGCCGACTTGCGGGAATTCATATTCAACCGAACACCTACATTCAGCTAACATATTTAGCACACATTTCCAGGAATAAACACATCTATAGCTATTTAGAACTTGCTTTCCCTTGTCAACAGATTAACAAACATTCCACAGTATGTTCTTCATCCACTGAAATTGTGCTTTTTTCTGGGCTACTCTATATAGATTTGTTTACACCTATACAAGAGGGTGGTTAATGTAACAGCCAGCTATTTAAATTCAGTGTGTATTCTATGATTACATTAAGAAAACAGATTGCTTACTTCTAGCAAAGGAAGCCGAAAATCCATACAAATTCACAGAATAATCACTGACAAACTTCACATATAAGTGATTAGTCGTAGAGTTAACGACACCGGGTATTCTATTTCCGCAGTGTCTGCTCAAGAAGGGGGATGTGTCGTTTAGACCGTCGCGAAATTCCAGATAGTCAGACAAGCAGTGTGGCGAATCTTCCATCTAAGCGAGACCAACAGCGGTGAAAAAAAGAACAAATATTACAGCTGTCAAAATACCGTCTCCTTTATAAGAACAATACTGGGATTTTTAATCACTCGAATTGATATTAGTCCTTCTGAAGTATGTTATAAAAGCTTTTTTTTCCCATGAACCATTCAGTTGTGGCGGTTAAATAATGCAGTTCGCCATTGTAACGGAAATATCAAAAATTCTGTCACTGTGAATGAAATTTATACTAAGCCATTGTAACAAACATATAAAAAGGGGGATTTTATAGGTTGTTTTAATTGCAACCACACAGTTTAAACGAATATTCTCCAGACTGTTGGGAAAATAGCTTAGATCACATAGTAGTTATAAAATGACGCAGTTATATAAATACCGTCGGCTCTGTGGCTAAGTCGATGTGAACGCTTCGTAATGCCGGGATGCCGGGTTCGATACCAGCTGCGGGCCATGCGCCTTGCGTTGGTTTCGACAGTGGTATCAAGAAAGCCGACTGTCCATAAAGCAATGGCAAACTACTGGACGTAAATTTGCCTAGAAAAACCACACAATAGCCAGGGGCTGTTGGGAGTGGTTCTGCAACGTCCTGTAAAGGATACGTAACTAACCTTACATAAATACCGGCTATCCTCCGAATAACGGGCAGAAAAGATGGCGGCCGCAAAATATCACAGTATATATTCCGGCAACTTAATTTGCGGTTTTCCGGCGACTACCGTGGATTGAGGCTAAACTAGATGGCTAGGACTCACGAGCAAAGCTGCAGGAGATGCGGAAGCTGCTGCTCGTGAGTCCTAGCCATCTAGCTTAGCCCCAATCTAAGCCCGTGAGCGGCGTGGTGACTCTTGGCGGTGGCAGTAGTAGCCGGAAAACTGCCGAAAAACCGCAAATTAAGTCACCAGAAGTGCACAATTGACACGTGGCTGAGGCTGGTTGGGATATTTTGCAGCCGCCATCTTTTGTGCCCGTTATTCGGAGGATAGCCTAAATACCTCTCCGGCGGGGTGTATTACTGAGGTACTTAGGTTTAATAATTATTTTGCCCCAGTAAAATATTAAAGATAAAGTAAAGTTGATCCTCGTCAATCTTCGGCGTGTCAAAAGCTAGATTCACATTTTTGTTTTTGACCAAACGGCACTGTTTTTATTGTCTAAGTCATCTTCTGGTAGTATTCTCTTTTTTTCATCCCAGAGGCCAATGTCATTTATAAATAATCAGATGCAGATTTGAACTCGTGATTTTGTGCCCGGCTGCCAGACGAGTCACAGAGTTACAACGATTGTTGCAAAATGCGATTTACTGTAATTGTACAAATACCGACAATCTGGCCCAAAGAGCCGACAGACTGACCGTTTCTGCATTAGATAGTAGAGGAAGAAGTCTCTACAGGGAAGTCATACTGAATTCTTAGTTTTCCAGATACGTTGAGCGAAAAGAGTCGACGAACAGCCAATTGGATATGCGCATTAAAAGAGGAGAAGCATGTAGAAACAGATTAACGGGATGGGGGGGGGGGGGGGATGGGAAAGGGGGGATGAAAGAGGAAATACCCAGTTCCTGGTTACTGTGGGCACGGGCACACTGAGATGGCTGCTGCATCGGAGGACGGCGCATGAATATGTCAGACCGTTGTGCTCAAATGACGAGATGGATAACAAGTTACAGTTACTACAACTCATACAATGATGTCAATAAACCTGCACACTGAAGAACTACAACTATGAAACTATTATACTGGCAAGCGAAAACGAAAAAGAAAAAAAAAACGAGGAAGGGGGTGGGGCTAGGGGGAAAAGGGGTGGCGTTGGGAAGGGAGTGTTCAGACGCTCGCCAAGCTAATAATCCAGAATTACTGCCAAACTTTTAAAATCTGTAACTTGGTAACCGTTCGGTGTAATTATTGTTGAAATCTGGTATACAGCCTGTTCATAGTTATTGAAGTGTGAGGGCACCAGCTTTTAAACCTGCTATCAATTGAAAATGATGTAACATCCCGTTAGCATGAATTCAACAGAAAGAAAATCGGGTTTGTGTTAAAAAATTAAGAATTTCGTGCTAACCGAAGACTAGGAAAGAAAAGTAAATGAAGGACTCGTTACCCCGTCTTGAGGCGCATTGGAAAAAGAGGTTTAGACCTATTTTTTACAGAGCACTCTTCACTTTGTAGGTGATGTGGTCAGCATCACGCTTGCCGCCTTTACTTCCCAGCACCGCACCTGGTACCAACTAAAAGCTGGGTCGACCTGGGAATAAAGATAATTAAAAAAATATAAAAAAATGCAGCTCCTTTAGGACTCGAACCTACGAGCGTCTAGCCGCTACTTCACAGTGACTCCAACCCTGAGGTCTCCTTCTTGTTTTTTTTTTCTCTTCCACTTTGTACCTCATCGAAGTGTCGGGGGAACCCGAGGACTGATAGCAGTAACACACATCCCTGCTTGCACTAACATGTCTTCATGTTAACAGAGTATCTTCTTCAACTGTTTCTTGTTAACTAAGTTTTGCTCTAAATCTAAACAAACACAATAACACAATAGAAATATAGCTAAAATAACACAATAAAAATATAGCTAAAATAACACAATAGAAATATAGCTAAAATAACACAATAAAAATATAGCTAAAATAACACAATATAAATATAGCTAAAATAACACAATAGAAATATAGCTAAAATAAAACAATAATATAAAAATAAAACACAGAAAATAGCCACATACACGAAAATAGTCAAACGTAACGGATATAAAGAATCCGTCTCCCACAGTTATCCTCCAAACGCAGGTCTGCTGGTCGGGATAAAAGCGAGGATAGTTCGGGCTGACGAGCAGTCCTTCATTTTTGGTGATCTCACCTCCACATGTTACTGTCGAGATGGAAAACTGGTTTCTTAAACAAAATATTTAATGATTATTACCACATTGGTTAATCTATCATTATTTATTAAATTGATTTGTTCTTGCGTGCAATTTTTGGTTCCTTCATTTCCTATTTCTTATCTATTTCTACCTTTTACGATTTAGTTTTCTTACGTTTATATATTTATTTCGCCTTCTGTGTATGAAAGAGAACCCTGCACGAAATTAGAAAAACGTGAGGTTAGGTGCACGTAAATCGCCCCAAACTTAGAAGCTAACTTTTCCTTCACACGTTTTTTGGGCTGCTCGACTTTGTTGAAGGTTACAGGTGTATCCCGCTCGGTTACTGACCTTTAGCGTTGTCTTGCGTTTAAGTTTTCATTCCCAGAAAGTGAATGCCTGTGGCATAGGTTGCAGCACTCTCTCAAAGGGTTTGTTTTAGGGCCAGTTTCTTCATTTTTTGGAGTGTTAAAAGCGCTGGCGTGCTAAAATATCTAACACGCGATATCAACTGCATTGCAGAACATCCGTAACCTTGTGCCAAGGTGACAAGTTCAGGAACAGGTTCAGTAGTGAGCTAGTGTGTATATGGGCGTGGCGTTTGGAGACCAACGTTACTTTAACCAAACTTTAATATGTTGGAAAACAAGGGGGAAGGGGTAACTTACTCTAAAAATTAGGCTAACAAAACAAATAAGTGTTCTCAGCATATAGGTGGCGATACTTGTTATTATTATTATTATTGTATGTGTGTGTGTGTGTGTGTGTGTGTGTGTGTGTGTGTGTGTGTGTACCATAAAGTAACAAATTATAGTACCAGAAATGTGTAATGTCTGCCTTCGAAGACTTTAGTACAGACTGAACATAAAGGTACAAGAACAAATAACTTACTGGTTCTTTATCACTAAATTCTGATAGTCCTGCTGATGCAATGACTTGTCGTCTTCTTAGCGTTCACAGAATTTAAACTCCGACAGAAAGTTCTAGTCGTTCGTCCACTTTTGGACCGCAATCTTGTTCCGAACTTGAATTTTGCTTACACATCCTTTATAAAGATTTGAATTATTTGTGTGCAGAATATTGGTTCTTTGCCTCTCAGGCAAATGAGCTCCTACTTCGAAGGAAGCATGTAGCCTTCTACGACATGTTTACTAGGAGGTAGTGGGTCTATGTGTATCCCTGCCCCCCCCCCCCACTACCCACCCCCTAATTGTGGTCCCACATATTCACAGGCATAATTTCTTGTCATAATCAAGTCTGATTTCTTTTCCTTCTTATAACAGCGCTACTACTGTTGTTCCTGCTTAGTGCATGATACGACCTTCTCTGACTGACCCTGTTCTTGTTACGTTCAGTATTAATGAATACATACACAAGGAAACAGTAACTAGCATATTGTTTACAAAACTTTACAACATATTAATCCTACCTTGGTATGATGCTGCAAAGCTTTTGTGTCCTCTACCACTGGTCCTGTACTTTATCCACATTCGGGATCCAGTCGAGGTCAAAATTGGAGGTATATTACTACCGCAATAACTACCTGACAAGTCAAATAAAATCGTTATCAGCAATTAGAACCTTTGCAGAACTGTGCAGTCATCCCAGCATGCCGGAATCACACTCAGCCATCTGCAAATTCCAGACTTAAGAACTTTCATGCCCGTGGTGGCTTTCTTTTTCTTTTTCTTCTTCTTCTTCTTCTTCTTCTTCTTCTTCTTCTTCTTCTTCTTCTTCTTCTTCTTCTTCTTCTTCTTCTTCTTCTTCTTCTTCTTCTTCTTCTTCTTCTTCTTCTACCTCCTTCTCCTCTTTCTTTGCTTTTTCACCTCCGTTCTTCTCTTCTTCGCGTTCACAGGCTATTCACGCCGACAGAAAGTTCTGGTTGTTCACCCTCTGGCGTGTCGATTCGGAGGTATCAACATTGTTTATGGTAATTTCAGTACAGGCTTATTGACCGAGGGATCCATGAGGTGTTTGTACGGAATGAATGAATTACCATCACTGCACTCGGAAAGTTTCCACACGTGCTCCGTTCTTCTATTTCAGTAACCAACAAAGAGTTGACATGCTAATAGTACAGCTGCAGCCTGATTAAAAGTCCTCTTCGGTTTGCCCTTCAGTGTTGAATTTTTTCTAGAACATCTTGCACCCCCTCCTCTCTTCTCCCGTTGCATGGATTGCATATCAGGGTTTTTTTTTTTTTTTTCACTGTCAAATTGATTTTGTAGAGCCTTCACCACATCCGAATTATCGTATATCAGAAGCTAATCTGTCGCACACCTGAAAATCCATTATATGTTCCTGATCTAGATTATATCAAGTTATGCACGTCGGACACCCGTTTCAGTTTTCCAAATTCTGTTTTGTGAATCTGTTACAATTTGAACATGTCGGGCCGTACTTTTCTCAAGACATCGGAAAGCTGCCGTTACTGAATCAGCCCCCATTCTCATACTCCTATTGTCATATTGGATGTAGTGACGTTGTAACGTGAGAGTCTAAGTTTTTAAGCAGTGTTCATTTGCAATGAAACACCATCCATTCTTCTTTTCTCTCATCACAGACCCATCTATATATATTATGATGTTATCTGGGCGTGAATATTTATTGATCAGCTCTCGCTGATAGGTATGATGAAAACCATACATTGATTAGAGGAAATAAAAATAGTCAGTCAAGATATTTTGGAAGAACTATGACCTGAAATAGGTTTACAAATGTGTAACAACTTGCAAAAGTATTGGAGCAATTCGAAGGATAAAAAAGAAAAAAATATGAAAGACTTAATTAAATGACGTATGCGAGGTACAAGCAGAGACCTCGAGATTGTCTGACATTGTGAATCGTGACTCCCTTTGCTTTTCTGCCCTACCTGCCCACAATCTGCTATAAATTCACGTTTTGATACATCTCCATAGTAGGATTGAAAGCTGTAAAGAATCGTCCCATTTTGTCTTCATCTGTCTCTTTTTCTACACATGTTTCCAATAGTCGAATTAGTTCCATTTTATTATTAGACAGTATATACAGTATTTTACACAATCCTTTCAAGGTATATTATGCTAATAGCAACAGCAACGCATTTTTTCTTTCTGTTATCTGTCATCCTTACTTTGTGTGCAACCTTTACAGCCTATTAGTCTTCGGTATGAGAGTTATTATAGGTGATTAAAAAAAGCTATGAATATTGTTGTTGCTTTTTATTTCTAATTCTAATTTTTTTATATCTGATATTTCTGAAGATTCATCGTAAGACTGTCCTAAACAATCCGTAATATGCCTTCTTATTTTAGTTCTATTACTAGCTTCAGATTCGTACACGACAGATCTATCAGTGTTTTACATATTTATACATAATGTGTTACTAATTGGAATGTGTCATATTAACAGACGGTAAAGTACTTAGAAAAGCTTTTTTTTTTCTTGAGTTCATTTCAAATTTTTTTCTTTCTATTAGTGACATGATGCAGTTGAAACAAGTGCCGAATATTTGCTTGTTTTCCCCCTCTCCATATGTTCTATATTTGTAAAAGATTACACGCATTAAAAAAAACCCGGCTGCAACGAAAGAAGATATACTAAATAACTTCTGCTGGGCACAGTGAGACACCTAGATAGCACTGAGTAGGGATCAGTCTGACCGATGTGTTAGAGTGCCGATATGGACAAGTTAACTACAAGTCATCTCTACCCTTTTACCTGCAAGATACTCCTGTTGACAGTTGCGTCACGGACATTCTCGTTTTCAGTGTCACTGTGAAACCGCGGCTCCATAACATACATAGAGGAGACACATAAGAGGGATAAATTGAAACATGGAAGAGTAAAATGATGACACCATCACGAGTTCTGTCCACGGTGCGAAAGGTGAGGCGACATGGGCAGATGTGTTTGATGACCTATACCACACTGCGTGCGTAAGGTCACAGAAAATGCGAGATGACACTATTTTAATCCAGATACGGCCTAATGTAATAAAATTACACACACAAAAATACATACCCAGAAGTGGTGACCTGGAGTAATGTCCATCTCTAATCTTTAGATAGTTACCTCCTCGACAAGCGGAAGCTATGTTGAAATGGGTAATGTTAAGGACAATATTCATCCCTCGAGGTACAAAAATACGCCAGTGACACATTGCTAGCAAACCCGGCGTCGATGTGTAATTAAATTTGCCAGATGTGTTAGACAATGTATGTAGACAACCTGAAATATAGCAAAAATGTATATATTTATATATGTGATGGTGGTGATCATAGTGGTAGTTGGTGGTGGTTCACATTTGCTGTCACATGCGTAGTAGGTGCTGTGATTGTCTACCAGCACAGATGTCTCATGTTCGAATCCTCACAAGTTTCAAAAGTGTCTGAGACATCTGCTATATGTTGACGTTTATAACACAGTGACTGTATCTACCGCATGACTTTGATGGGCTGGGTTCCGATCTACGCATTGAAGCTAAAAATAATCTCTTGTCTCTGTTTTATTTCTTTTCTAATGCTGTTTAAGGAAAATGTTTAGGAAGGCAAAGGTGATCGAAATTTGTCTCACTCTGCATCAAATATCTACTGGCCCAGGTTAAATGTCATATATCTAGTGGGCCTTACATTTAAAAGCTTCACAAATTAATTATTACAAAACATAGCTGCAACAGGGTCTCCACATTCTTTTTCGGAAAATAACCAAAAAAAAAAAAAACCGTGCTACAGAAATTGTTTGCATTCCCTGGATGCAGGCTGCTGTCACCAGTCAGCTAGATTCCCCCGTTCTTGTGACCGACGGTGACCTAATTCACGGTGCCACCAGAATTCTAAAATTTCACACCTCCTTTATTGTTGTAGATGTATAAACATTCAGACAATGTCATACTGCTTTAACCAATGGTTCTTAAATTTTCGTTGCAAAAAGTGAATCTGTTCTTATGCATGAATAGGGATCTCTGTCAAAACAAGAAAATGACAACTGGGAGATGTTCTGAAGATCGTTTTTGTGAATTGGCTTATTTGTGTGAATAAGCCTATTCGTTCTCATTTATTTGATTATCTCTTCTGTCAAGTGTTAGTTGCTTCGCATTACTACAGCAGGTTTGTGTCGATGGTCTGCGTTCAGAACATTTCATAATGTGGATATGTATGCGTATGTGTCAGGGGAGTGTTTGTATCTCTTTCTTGGAATGATATTGATTCTTGGTGTCAAGATAAGAATTGTGCTTTTTTCTCTGTGTATTTAATATGCGTGCTTTATTTATGTGTCATGTAATCCACATTTAATCAGTCTGTTAACTCTTTTAACGTGTCATGTAATATATCTGTCAACAAAATCTTGATGACTCTAGCCATCCCTTTGTGTGATGCAATTTTTCGTTATTTGAAGCCATAATCTAGCTCTTGCCAGGGGCCACAATATAACCAGGCCATAAAAATGGTTTAATGGTTGAAAGCGGTTTCTAGGACCTGTCGTGGGTGATCCTTATCCACATGGTGGCACTTTGTGTCATTTGGTGTTTATCGCTTGTGTGATGTCCTGGTTGGGTAAAAGGAGATAGATAGAGAATCCGTTAACTCTTTCACAACAAAATGGTATCTTCATGACCAACAAAAATTACGTATGCACAACGAAACATCTAAGTTCGTCACATCAATAAACCGTGCAAGTATATCAACAATTAAACTCTTACAACATTTTATAATACCAGCAACATAATGTGCGACAATTAATTCACATCCACACATCTCCATTGGTCCTAGTATATTATTTCTTATATGACCTCTCAAGGCCTCAATAAGCACGAGCTTTAGATGCCCATGTAAGTGATCTACTGCTATTCGCAGCTTATCAAAATCATTAGTATAACTTGCCAAGTGCTAGATACACCATTTACAAATTCTCCTCAACTCCCCTCATATCGGACCTAGAAAATAGCCGTGTCGCTCTCTTCAATGTAGACACATCTCTGTACCTCTGTTTTTCTCTCTTTAAACTTAAAAATACTCATTAATAAACAAAATATACAAATGCATGCCTTTTTACGTGGCTTTAAAAAAAAACCAATATAAAGCATTGAAGACAACTAAAAATCAGATCGCTCATTGTCGAAGGTGCCCGTTAGCCTACCTCCTTAATTCAATGATAACTGCGATCCATTTTCGAATGTGTCACCAGGCCTAATCGGCTTTGTTAGTGACTTAAAAGTTTAACTCATATTTATCTCACGACACCCGGCCGTCATCTGCCGTACTTCGCCTCGGTTTGTCGCCTGCAGTTCTGTTATCTCTCAAATGTCATAGCTGCAGTCACCTGATACTTGTGACATCTTAAAGTTTGGGGTTTTTTAATCATCATCAGCTAACATTATATAAATGACATAAATGCTCTATACAAAACGAATTTTAAAAGAAAAAGCAAAAATCTTGGAGTAAAATACACATTAAATAATTGCCTACTATCTCTATATAAGTGATACTGCTATCATGTTCATCAACCTGTATTTAAATCATAACGTAAGTGTGCTGCGTATATTTACAAATCGACAAAAAATTAAAAAGCGAAAATCTTACTAAAAAACATAGATTAACTAATTGTTGTCCATTTCACCATTTTAAATATAAAGTCATAAAATGAATTTATTTCATTTATCATCATGACAACATTTATGTGATTTGATATCACAATCACGATCAAGCCTAATACACATATATAAAAAGTGAAACAAAATACACATCAAATCTTCTCCTATCTGCAACATCAGTTAATACAACAAACTGATGTGTCCTTTCACCGCATCCACTTGTGTCATGGCTTCTCGTAACATTCAACAAACAAAAAATCTTTCGCATTCACTGTGGCATTTTTGCATGTCTATTATTATTCTTTATGACTCATTACTAGGCTATACATACATACATATATATATATGTAAATATTTATTTAAATCTGCATGCTTCTCTTGTTAGAAAATGCTCAACCGTTCCCAATTATTTGTGTATTGTCTTAATTTTTTCTTCTTAAACCATTTCAATTTTTTCATTTTCATGTAGTATGCCCTATCACTACTCTCTGATATATTACGTATTGTATTTTTTGGGGGAAGGGGGGAACTTTCTTTATTATCACTTGACTTTTTATCCGTAATTAATACTTACTTTGTTTACTAATCGTCTACTACCCTCTTTATTTAAAGAATATACTTTATCCGAAGAAACTGTTTGCTGTGTACGCGTGTGCAAAAATGAATTCATGTATTATTCTTTGTTATATTTTCTATAGACATCATCACTCTTCTTTTACTAAATTAACTATTTCATTTACGTCTTCTTCGAGCGTTGTAGAATTGGTGCCTATTTACTGCCTCATTCATGCATGGCTGTTGTGATCATAACTGTCGCTTCTACCAATTATTTTTTTTTTTCAATTTTTTAATGCACTGTCATATTAAAAACAAATCTATTTAACACTGCTAACTAATATGCGAAGCGAATTAATAAATAATATGACCTTGATTTGTTTCTCGTAAGCATAAAGTAGTTCCCGCCCGTTCTTCTCTTTATTTTCTGGATTGTCAAATACTGTTGCTTTGTGAATAGTGATTTGTTGACTGTTTTTGGGCACTGTCTTCTAGTAAATCGTTAATTGATTTGTACTTCCTTTTTGTCTCTACTGGTTTTTGTACAGTTGCGACTGTTTTTCTTGTCGTAGGATCTGGATGTTGTGGCCACGCAGGTTTTCTAGTCGTTGACGTAATGTTCTATTCATCTGCTTCGCTGTGGTTGTTAATTGACCTCTGATTGAGTCTTGTCTTCGTGGTTCAGGTTTTAAACAGTGATTAGTTACTTAAATTATATACAATCTTGTGTGTAAAAATGTCTCTCTCGCGTCTGCTGTACTTGTATTAAGTGATTCTTGATTTTCTGGAACTCTGGACCATTATAAAGTTGGTCTTCTAGAACTCTTTACTTCTTGAACACTGGTCGTTTGTATGTCTGGACTTCTGGAACTTTAGTTGTCGGTACTCTCAGCTTTTATATCACTGGTTTTCTGGAACTTTAGATTTCTTTCAGGTAGATCTTCTGAATTCTAGACTGCTACTCTTCTAGCCGTCTTGAAGTGCTATCTTCTGGAAGTAATAGCTTCTTGATGTTAATTATAAATGTCTATATCTGCTTTCCTATTGCTGCAGCTCATGTCTCTGTTTCTGGATGATACTGGAAATTCATGTGACTGTACTCGTAGTTCTGATTATATTCACTGAAACATGAAAACGTTTGGACAGTGCTTGCTTTCATCGTTAAAACTTGAAAACTCTGGCTCACTGTGTTAAACTATTGTTTCTTCAGGTTTAGTTAGTTCGAGTTGCGTTGTTTGACGTGTCTTACAAATTGTCTGATACTGTTATTCTGCTATGTGATCGTAGTAAACTTCTCAAGGCAAGGAAATTGAGTTTCTTACATATGTAGCAGTGTCGCTCATAATTGGCTGATACTTGCGAATCCTGTTCCTAAGGCACCAAAATCGACCTACCCTTTATGTAGCACAGCTGTCTTTATTGCGTACGTTGATGTCACACCATGTTCGTCTTTAATTTGCTACAGAAGGAGTCAACTGGAAGAAAATAGACGAGAAGAAAGATGATCGTGTCGATAGTGGTGATGATGATGATGATGTTCTGCTTGCTGCATGCTTCTCACGTGACCATGAAGCTAGTATAAACAGAAGTGGAAAGAACTCTTCTCTTTACTCTACTGTCCTTATTGTGATACTTCCGTCATGCCATAAACAACATCAATGATATTATGAATGGCTGCAGTGTTCTCTCTATGGTTACATACTCTTGAGGCCGCGTTGCGTTCTTCATCTTTAGTTACTTTCTTTACTGACTTTAGTATCTGTAACTGCCACCTGGCTTCTGTCTGGTTCTAACGGCCTAATAGTCTACTCTAACATCTTAGTAGTGTTTCTACCTAATGTGTCTGTGTTAATCATGGATCCATGTGAATATGTTGTCTCTGTAGATCAATGTCTCGCTTCATGTCTCTTATCTAGTGTCTGTCTTTGAGGCTAAATGTGACAGGCTCTTCTTTTTCCAGTTTTGAGATGGCATCGTTACAACTGCGAGGGTCAATGTTTTTAGTCCCTCCTTTTCTAAATCTCAAAGACTGAAGGATTTCCCAAGTGGTTCCTCACTCATTATTTATACTGCGTTGCTGGAATGCTTGGTATTTGATTTATTCTCACTTTGACTGTTTCTTGAATATTTTTGTAAGCTAAAACTTGTTTACTTTGTGCGTTCTCACGTGGGATTTTCCAATTGCGTTTAGATAGCATCATCTTGTTCTGTAACTAAATATACTAAATAAACTGACCGCTGGCCTTATTGGGACTTCGAGAAAGCCAGTTCTACTGCGCTCACTTTAAAAGACGCATATCAACAATTACACCACATACTATTTATAAATTATTTTTTTGCAAGACATTTATTTGTTAATAACAAAGGCTGTTTCTAGAAAATGGAAAGCAAAGGTTGCCGAAACTTGTTGATTATGGTACATCTTAACTTTGCGCCAATATCCTACCCCCTGACAAACAAGCGATGACATCTTCCTGTTACAAAAAACATGCCAAGCAAAGAAAGTATGAATGCGTTAGAAGAGTTTTCAAGTTCACAAGGAGGATTTTGATAATGTTAGTGACGATATTTGAGGTGATGACAATGATAATGATAAAGATGATTATGATGACGAGGATGTCTAGAAGTAGATTTTGTAGATTATTATGATGATAGTGACGATGATGATGCTAAAGCAGTAGAAATGGAGGTGAAGAGGGTAAAAGAAGAAGTAGTAGCAAAAGAAAGAAGAAAAAGAAGATGATGATGATGAAAAAGATAAAGAAACAGAAGATGATGATGATGAGGAAGATGAAGAAGAAAAAGAAGAAGAAGAAGAAGAGGAAGAAGAAGAAGAAGAAGAAGAAGAAGAAGAAGAAGAAGAAGAAGAAGAAGAAGAAGAAGAAGAAGAAGGAAGAAGAAGAAGAAGAAAAAGAAAAAGAAAAAGAGAAGAAGAAGAAGAAGAGAAGAAGAAGAAGAAGAAGAAGAAGAAGAAGAAGAAGAAGAAGAAGAAGAAGAAGAAGAAGAAGAAGAAGAAGAAGAAAAAGAAGAAGAAGACAAAGAAGAAAAAACAAACATTATAAAAGAAATATATGTATATACTTTAGTAATGTACTTACTAGGACATGAATACAGTTTGTTGGTTTGTCTGATGTCACCTGGACTTAACCTACTTTGCCTGCCAATTGTCGGTGTGTGGTTGGTTCCAGGTATGCGTTTAGGCGCTATTGATCCCAGGCTAGTATTTACCGCTAATGTGCTGCGGTAATAGTGCATTATGCTGTAAATAAAGAAAAAACTAAAGGCTAAAAGTTTTTATCAATGTCATCGTCATGATGAATCCCCACTTCTGCCCTTGGGCGATATGAGGAGGATCTGTTTGCAATTCATTTCTTGATGGGCAGTAATGACTATTGTAAATCGTGTCGATGTAGAAGTTCTTTGATGTCATCAGTCAATATTCTCTTGATTTCACTTCAGATCTTTTTATCAGGGGCGCATGCGTTTGTAGTTTTTCTCGCTGCATTCTTACTAAATGACTAAACTATTTGATCTTCTCTTAAGATTTTTTTTTTTTTTTTTCAAATGAGTTGTTCCTAAAGAATATATGATAATATATTTTCTAACTTTGGCTCAGATGGTTAAGTTTGTTGCTTTTTCTTAGGTATCTCAATTCACAGGTGTTTATTTTACGGAGGTTAGTCTTTGATAATGTTCAAGTCTAGCACTGGTAACACAGTGTTGGTATGAATATGCTGTTTATAATGTTTCTTGGGGCAAATATTTATGTGTGGGTGTTCTAAAAACGATGTCAGTTGGTATATAAGTGGCTTGGTATGCTGGCATCTTGTTTCTACTTCCTGATATATTCTGCCATGCTCCAAAAATATACTACCTAGATATATAAATTGTTGAACTTGCTTGAGGCAACTACCATTCAACCTGATGTATAGCGAACTAGGAATTATGCTGTTTTATCTGCATTACTTCAGTTTTAGTAATATTTATGTTCATATTTTATCTTCTGAATGTTAAACTTAGTCAGTTTAGTTGTCGTATGTATACTCCCCTCGTTGTAGAAAAGGCACAGATCGCCCGTAAATATTCATTAGTACCTGAATTCTTTATACGCCCACTGACTGACCAATGTTCAACCCTACTGGGAATGCAAAACGAGTGATAAACTCCCAGTGACAACTTTCCACTATTCGGACAAGAATCACTCGGGTGCAAGTCCCAGAAAGAAGATAGAATGGGGCTTTAGCATACCGAAAAATTGAGTACTGTGACGGCAACAAATAAGACGAAATAAAGCCCAGGTACTCTTGAATTCGATGCTGTTTTGTTTTAATAAAAATGACTCTTACTATAAATGCATTCCAATAAAAGAGCACAATTCTCTTGAGAGTTATACTAATTGTCAATTGCTTCTCTCTCCCTCCCTCCGTGTCTGTCTTCCTCTCTTTCACCATGGACCTTAATGTCCAACACATGTATTTCTAATATACATTATTGTTCCCATGTTAACTTCCTTGCCATGATCCCTCA